TGTTTTTGTTTTTTGCTTTTTGCCAGTTCTGGAGCTCAGGTCCTGGGTGCTGTCCCTGAGCCTCTTTGTGTTCAAGGCTTATGCTCTACCACTTGGAGCCGTAGCACCCCTTCTGGCTTTTTTGGGGTAGTTTATCGGATATAAGAATCTCACAGAATTATCTTGCCCATGTAATTGTAACCCCTCTGTATGGTATTTTCACAATAAAAAATAAAAAAAGAATCTCACAGGGACTTTTCTGCCTTGACTGGCTTCGAACTGCAATCCTCAGATCTCAGCCTCCTGAATAGCTAGGATTACCAGCTCTGAGCCCTTCTTTGCTTTTAGTTATTTTTCAGTATTCAGGGGCCAGCTTCTGACCTCTGTTCTCCTCCCTATGCCTCCTGCTTGGGTCGCTGGGTTTGCAGGCTTGCCACCTTACTCATCGGGCTGGCTTAGGATCACAGTCCTCCCAATGTCCACCTCCCCTGGAGCTAGGAATAATGATGAGAGGACACCATATAGGAACCGCTGAGGAGGAACAGGAGGAGGAATGGCCTTTGCCTATGTTTGTTCTGAAAGGCCTCGCTCCATGTTGTAAATTTGTTGAGTACATGGCCTTTTCTGGGGCCTCCCAAGCTTCCCAGAGTAGCACTTTTGCAGTTTGCACAGACTTGTAAGTGGTTATATGATGGAAATGGAAAGGTGTGATTCCTGCTGTCTGCATGCATCCGCCATGTTAGCGCTGCTGCTGCTGACAGTTCCTCTCCCATATAGTAGTGTTTAAACTCAGCTAGTTTTGCTTACTCCATTTATACCTTCAAGCCATTGCCTCAACTCATTGAAAAGAGATGTATCCATGTGCCCATGCTAAATGGAAAGAAAGAGCTCAGAGATAGGGACTTGATTAAGTAAGTCAGAGCCACAAGATGAATTGTATCCAGGTGAGCAAATTGTAGACCATTTTATGAAGATGACAGAATCCACTAACCACTGGCAGATTTGCTACATGCAGTTCAGCCAGTGTCTTCTAGCTTGTCTCATACGTGTTTTGTATTATTCCTTGCTTGATCCTCACCTGAATTTAAAGGTCTGTTGATTCTAGTTCTTAACAATATTTGAAGGCTTTTGTGCTAGATGTTTGTGCTAGATATTTGGCTTCATATTTTGAAGTTTGTGAATCATCCCACAATTGGATAAGAATAAAGGACCAAAGAATGCGCTCTCTTGCTCCAGGCATCCTCTTCATGCCCCCGGAACCTCCCTTGCTGTTTTTCTGTGATGTCATGAAGCCCCCAAACTATATCCCCATTCTCCTTTCCCCTGAGCCCCTGCCATCCACCTTGCGTGGCCTCCTGGGTCACCAGAACAGTAACTCCAGGCTGATTGACCTTCGTAGAGGGGCAGACTGCCTCCTGGGTCTCAGGTTTTCTTAGTTTGTTCTTTGTCTTAGTTGAAGAAAGTAAATTGCACTTGACAGTTCTCAAAGTAGCAGCGATGGCACACAAGAAATACTTTGCTTGAAGTTGGAAGCTGTCCGTCTTGCCATGTTATCACTTAGCTGCTGCATGCCGTCTATCCTGCCTCAATTGCTGGAAAAGGCCCATGAAAGAGCCAAAGAATCCTGCCTGTTGAGAGTAACTACCTTTATGAGCGCGTACTGTGCCGTGTGCAAAACACATGATGGGCACAGCTGATTGAGTCTTCCCAGCACGCAGGAGTTCAGAATGTCAGGTGATGCGCTGCTCTGAGGGCTTCTAAGTGGCCAGGTTGGGGCTTGGGGATGGCGGGAGGGGAAAGCCAGTGCCACGATGACGCCACCTTTATAGTAGCCTCCACTTGGCTCATTTGTTCTTGAAGACCTGTGAGATTGACTTTTCTGCTTGTTGACGGGTGATCTCTAGAATGCACTCACGGTGTCCTTTCTCTGCCTGTCAGGTCGGTCTGTGAGTTGTTAGGACTTCCGCACAGGCCAGTGGGCTTTCGTGTGTGTTATAACACTGCGTGTTGCGTGGCTGCTTTGTCATCCTCTCAAACTGCTTCACCTTGACACAGGCCTTTCAGTCTGTCCTACACACTTGTATTTCATGACATATTTAAAATGCTCTTTTATTGTTGGCTTTTACCCATTGTGAAGCCTTCCAGTGTGTCTGTGAGAGAACTTCCCAGCTGTGTTTTACTTTTTTTTTTCTTGCTGGTCCTGGAGCTTGAACTCAGGGTCTGCACACTGTCATTGAGCCTCTTTGTGCTCGGGTAGTGCTCTACCACTTGAGCCACAGCACCACTTCCAGCTTTTTCTGAGTAGTTTTTGGAAATTGGAATCTCAGTAATTTTTCTGCCTGAGCTGGCTTCAACAGTGATCCTCAGATCTCAGCTTCCTGAGTAAGTAGGATTATAGGGATGGGCCGCCTGGACCCAGCTTCCTGACTGTGTTGATGTGCAGGTTGGGCAGCTGCAGTTGACACTTAGATTTCCCAGCAGGAGAATAAATCTAAAGCCTATAGGAAAGTATTGCTTGTATTTCAATACAGCCATTTTTATGGTTAAGCTTGCATACTCATTCTGTTACCATGTCATTTTTCCACCTGATTACTTTGAGATGGGAATAATCTTAAGAGTCTTGAATGCTAGTGTATCAGTCTTTGATTACAGTAGTCTTTGAATGTGGTCATAGTGGATCATAGTTGATAGCGCCATTGCAGTTTAAAGTGTGTCTGTCTGATCTGTCTCCTTGCAGCAAAGTTCCAGCGTTCGTGAGGATGATTGCTCCTGAAGGCTCTTTGGTGTTCCACGAGAAAGCCTGGAATGCATATCCCTACTGTAGAACAAGTAAGTCTGTCCCCCCATGAGGGCCAGGGGACAGAGCCCAAGTGCCAGGGCCTCCGATGGGTGCTCATCTGCCCCTGCCAGGGTAACAGCAGCCTTGTCCGAGCTGTGTGGGTGGGTTCACTCCCAGGTGGCGGGCAGGCCTTGTTGGCTGCCTGCTCCAGGGAAGCATAGGAAGGACATGGGATAAATGATGCACCTTTAGAAATGCTTTCTGGTGAATTTGCAGTATTTATAATGTTTCCTGATAGAGATAGGATAGGACCTAGGGGCGACTTCCAGTGATTTGCCAAACTGACTTAGTAAGATTTTGTAACATTCTTACTAGCATTATTCTAAAGCTAGATGACTGTCCACACTTTATTTGGACTCTACAATTGATAGAAACTGTATTGAAGACGCAAGCTACTAAATGTTGTGACATAAAATATTGGGAGAGATTGTTTTGACTCCAACTAATCTGAGTTTTTTCTGTTTCATTGCTCGCCTCTGCATTCTGCCTCAGTTGTAACGGTGAGTAAAACCCTTTTTCAGTCCTCTTCATCTCTAAACTTTATCTAGTAATCATTTCTAACAACTGCTTGCTTTTTCACTGAAAATTGCATCTCTGCATGACTCCTCCCTGCTCGCTCCACCTGGCCACTGCCACTGTGTTCCCTGGGGCTTAATGAGCTCTGCCTTATCTCGATTATCTGACTTTTGTCTTTGTCTTTTGCTTTTTGCTCCTTCCCTCAGATGTCAAATTTGGCTCCCCAAGCCTTGTGGCTTTCTTCTTAGCCCCAGATACTGCATGACAAGTAGGCCTGCTGAGATTCCTTCACAGCCTGTGTGCCTGGCCAGGCAGTGGGAATGGGGGCGGGGAGGGACTGTCACTTGGGGGAGGCAGCAGTGCTTGTGCTGGGATAGGCCTCTGCCCGTGCAGACTCCAGAAGGGTCACCGTCCTTGTCCTCTTGTGTTTCCTGCAGAATGAATATATGAAAGATGATTTCTACATTAAAATTGAAACATGGCATAAACCAGACTTGGGAACATTAGAAAACGTAAGTTTCACACTGGGCACTTTTAGTGCAGACGCTTCTGGGAACAGGTGTCTGAAATGTGCTCCACCGGCTCCTTAGCAGTACCATCACCGGGCAGGCTGTCTGTCTGTGGTGCCGTGAGCCAGGCAGGCATCTGGATACCGAGAGGCTTGCCCTGCCCTGCCTGTGCCTGGCCTGGCCTTCACCTTTGTGTGGACATGGGTGCAGTTACTGTTTGTATCTGAAGTAGGTAGCGTGTAGCACTAAGTCTTAGGTAGTTTTCAAAGCTGCTCTTCATCACAGAGCGGCTTCATTTTCATTTCCCCTCCACCAGCTGGTGTGAGGGTTGAGGGAGGTGCTTTGACTAATGTGCAGCTCTTGACACACACGCTAAGTGTGTTGTGTATCCCTAAAGCAAGCTTGAAGAGCATCAGCTCTCAGACTCAAGGCTATCCCTGAGGCTATTGGGGCTCCTGGGGAGGGGAGGTAGGTCTGGCATGTGATGTTGCTCTTGGCTCAGTGCTCCTAAGAAATGGGGTGCTGGGGCCCAGTAATGGTTCCTGGTTTTAGAACTTGGTTCCACTGGGCAACAATACACTGTTACAGGACTCAGTTAAAGGCCATGGCACTTGCCAGAACTTCAAGATTTAAGTAGTGGTAATAGATTTTTCTTTCCAGTAATCTTTTGACATTTCCTGTTGTTTTTTTCATGGTCATGCTCTCAAATGTAATCTAAAAGCCATGATTGGGTATGTTTTAATTAGGGTATAAGTGAATGTGCCATTCCCAGCTTTCAAGTGGGCCTCACTGTGGGCAGTTGTTAAGCAGCTCTTAATTGCTCTGTGGTGCTGCAAAAAGAGACAGTGAGATACCATGCTGTGGAAGAGTTAATCGTGGTGAAGATGAATAGCTGTCAGATAAGGAAGCTCTGGGTTTAGACCAGACCATGTGTCTGTCTGAAGTCCAGTTAATATTGGTCCCTAACTATTAGCACACTACTGCTAGACTAGGAACTTGTGGCTGAGTATCATAGGCTACACAAAAGTTGGGTACATCCCTAAGGACTACAGAGGTGACATTTACATAGAGCTTTCTGCTTGCCAGTGTCCTTGCTCATGCCCCTTCCACCCCTCCCCCTTTATTTGGAGGCCCTATGAAGAGTCATTCAAGATTTTTAGATCCCTCATGGTTTTAGACTTAATGAGTTGATTGAACTTAGTGAAACACTAATTTGCATTTTTTTGTTCTTCATAATATACATGGTAGGGGCTGGGAAGATGGCTCAGTGGTAGAGCACTTGCCTTGCGTGCATGAGGCCCTGGGTTCGATTCCTCAGCACCACATAAGCAAAAAGAAAAAAGCTGGAAGTGGTGCTGTGGCTCAAGTGGTAGAGTGCTAGCCTTGAGCTGAAGAGCTGAGGGACAGCGCCCAGGCCCAGAGATCAGGCCCCATGACCGGACCCAAAAAATAATAATAATAATAATATACATGGTAAATGATGCAGGGTAAATATTATATATGTAAATATAATAATTTCTACCTAAAGTTGGTTTTATTTCTATTTGTCATTTACAGGTTCATGGTCTAGATCCAAACACATGGAAAACAGTTGAAATTGTCCACATAGATATTGCAGATCGAAGTCAAGTTGAAGCAGCAGTAAGTACTACTTGATGGCACTGATTTAATACATTACTCTTTACATCAGTTACAGCCTCTGCTTCTGCTCTGTGATGAGCCTGGAGCTTAGATTTGGTCTACACGTCCAAGAGTTAAGAAAATGATTTGTGTTTTGTGCAAATTTCGCCCTTGTACAAATGATCCCTGTAAGAATTTGTAAAAGTAAGCTGGGTGTGTTCTCCTAGCTACTGGGGAAGCTGAGAATGGAGATTGGTGTTGAAGATCACAAGGCCCCATTTCAGCCAATAAAAAGCTGGGATAGTGGTTCATGCCTGTCATCCCAGCTTACACAGGAGATGTAAACAGGAAAATTGTGGTGCAGACAAAAGCCAAGACCCTAGTCAAAAACCAAGGAAGGGCCAGAGGCATGACTCAAGTAGTACTTTACCTTTACTAGCGATGAGGGCAGGGCCCTGAGTTCAGACTCTAAAACCACCAAAAAAGAAAGTATTTATTTCCTTTGAAAAACCCAATGTTGTTTATGAAAGTATTCTCCTTGGAGCTGCTGTAAGTAATGTGAGTTCTCCTTAGTTTCAACTGTGACTTTAAAAAGCAAAAATGTAACATTTAGAAATATTCACTAACATGGCCAAATTTAAATTATTGTAATTTAACATCTGTTTGGCTTTCCGGCTTCATTTTTATTAAAGGTACGTGTTTGTACTTCAGGCTTTCAGCTTAAAACTGCATGTAAAGACTCCCCAAGGCCAGCGTACGTCACCTGCTACTTTGCCTTTGCAGGCTGTGGCCGTGGGCCTTCCCCATGCTAAGACAACCGGGGATCCGCTTTCTGCTAATGGGGGAGCCAGAGCTCTGGAGAGTGACAGCTCTTGTTTGTCAAGCACAATGTGTGCAGTCAGCATCTCTTTCGTTTCTATTTTTAGTGAGTATTCTCTGAACTTGAGCAGCATTGTTTGCTGAAGCAAACACGAAATGTCCACTTTGCTGTGCACACAGGAGGGGTCTCTAGATTTTTCTCTGAAGTCACCAAGGTTTGCTGCCAGCAGTGACCTTCCCCAGGCCTGGCCTTATTCTGCTTTCAAGTATAGACACTGTGAGGGAGGACTGTTTTGTTTCAGGGGAGAATAGGGAGATATTTTGTTATCCTTAGTGTGTTGTTCAAATGCTGCTGGCCTTGTTTTCCCCACCCCCTCCCCCCCTTAAGTGGTGGGGCTTGAAATCTGGGTCTGGGTGCTGTCTTGTCAGCTCCTCAGCTCAAGGCTGGTGCTCTACCACTTGAGCCACAGCGCCACTTTTGATTTTCTGGTGATTTATTGGAGATAAGTCTCATGGACTTTACTGCCTAGGCTGGCTTTGAACCACAATCCTCAGCTCTCAGCCTCTTTAGTAGCTAGGATTATAGGCATGAGCCACCAGCACCTGGCTCTGGCCTTGTTCTTTTCTTTCGGACTTGTGCATGTGGAAGATGGTGACGGAAAGAGAAGCCTGGGGGTGTGCATGGAGTCAGCTGCTGGAGTAGCTGGCGTGTGGACCACAGGGACAGCCGTGATCAGCAGTGGGCGCAGGGGACTGGTTGCTCCTGAACAACATTCAAATGTTGTCAGAAATGCCTGCGTGCCACCAATCAAAATAGTCTCCCAACTCCCACCATACAGGCAGGCGCCTCTGCTTTCCTGGGGCCTAAACAGTGTGAAGCCGATACTGTTAGAGCCCCAGAGGCCTGCATCCTGGTTCCTTACCTGGGCTGCATGGGAGGACTTGAGATGGGGTCCTGGTGGGCGGGCACTGTGCAGGTGCAGTCTGCGGGGAGGGAGCTTAGTGATGGTTCTGTGAGGCACGAGGTACTTGGCGGGTACCAAGTAAGTGAGAGAGGCCGGATTGGACCTGGGCATTTTGACCCAGTGATGGAGCTGAGAACACAGTCTGCAATGCCATTGGGTTCAGGTGAGATTTGAGCCTCCACTCATCTGTCCACCTGCTGGGCATATTCATGTTGGACAGGGTAAGCGACCTCTCAGTGCCTGTGTTACAGTCTTGCATAAAATAAGGCTGGCTGTTCCGGCTGCGGTGTGCACCAGTGGTCTGCCCATCCCTCACAGCTCCTGTTCCCATTTAAAAGTTTCACTTTAAAGAAATGCAGACTTGTGGTAAAGTGATTCAAATTTACAGTAGCATTTCCTCATTGTGACAATTTACAGCACAAAAGCTATATAATTCAGTGGCACTGGGTATCTGGATATCCAATGTGGTAGAACTGTCACTGCTGCCTAAAACCATGCTTTGTCCACAAGTAGTCACTCGAACCTTTGGCACACACCAATCTGGATAATGTCTAGAGGGCTTTGTTCATCCCAGCCTTCACATCAGCTCTAGCTAACATCACACAGTAAGTGCCCTGGTAGAACAATGCTGCCCACTCCTGCTAAAGTCAGGACTTGCCTGGGCTCTTACACTAGGTGGCTGCTTTCAGGTCGGTCGTACTGTATGTAGTGTGTGCATCAGTGTTTGCCCCTTGGTGGCGTTCAGCTGTTCCCCCCTCCTGGCTGTGGCAAATGGTGCTGCTGCGAAGCTGGCGCTGCAGACTTTTCTGTATTTGTGCTTCTCAGCCATGATGAAATAACAGCCTATAGCATATAGGGCCAGCAGGCCTGACTACAGAGAAGAAAATGTGGGAAGCATGTTTCTCTACTACAGAAGATGGAAGGGAACTGTGTGATGGCAGCTGCCTGTGTTCTCTCTCTCTCTCTCATTCTCTCTCTCTTTCTCTCCTCTCTCTCTCTCTCTCTCTCTCTCTCTCTTTTTTCCCCTTTGGTTGGTTCTGTGGCTTGAACTCAGGGCCTGGGTGCTATCCCTGAGCCTTTCTGTGCTCAAGGCTACCACTCTACCACAGTGCCACTTCTGGATTTTGAGTGGTTAATTGGAGATAAGAGTCTCGTGGGGAACTTTCATGCCTAGGACAGCTTTGAACCACAATGCTCAGATCTCAGCCTCCTGAGTAGCTAGGATGACAGGCGTGAGCCACCAACGACCGGCCTGTGTCAATACTGAAACCTCTGCCAGGGGCAGAGCTTCAAGCTTCGGTGGATGTGTGAGGGGCCTGGAGTGAGTGGCAGGAGAAGGTTTTGGGTGCCAGCCCCATCGGGGTGATGGTGAGACCCTATGGAGCCAGGCTGTGGCTAGAGCACTCGTCCCTCGTGGCCTTGCCATTGATCATTAGAGCTGAATCGTGACAGGTGTGGTAGCTTGGAAAGTGAGATAGCCTGGAAAGACAGCGCCTCCTGCTCTGTGGGAGGAGCCTCCTTGCTTTCTCCTGTGCCTTCCACCAGGCAGAGCTTTCTTGGCCTCCCCTGGGTTATCAGGGAAGGGTGGGTAAAGTTGGGGCTGAGGCGTCCCACCGTCCCCCTCTGCTGTCTGACATTAGTTAGGCCCTAATGGGTTTGAACACACAGTTCAATAGCTACAGAAAGTTTGGTTCCGTGCCAGCCTCCTGTTCCATGAGGAAGGTGAAGCCCCGGTAACCTGCCAGGTGAGAGGCACTAGTGGACATTCTGGCCCTTGGTCCAGGGCTCTACTTCCGAGCCACAGTCCTGCTTCATTGCCCACTAGGCCAGCTGCTGCCACTTAGGCGTTCTCTTTCTCTCATGCTAGAGAACCCAACCATGCCCCGAGGCTGCCCACCCAGAGGGGGAGGGACTGGCCAATGTGAGCAAGAGTGTACCCTGACATGACCCGCGTGATGCTAGTTTGTTTGGTCAGACCTGGCTGCCCAGGGATGGGGGAGGGGACATTCACACCTGGCCGTGAGTACTAGAATTTCCAAGTGCATGTCCATTGACCTAGCAAACAAAACCTTACTTCGAAGAATCCACTGTCCTCCCAGTTTCCACACAGAGCTGAAGTGGAAGTGTTCTCCATCTGTCACTGAGTGGTTTGGAGCACCAGGGTCTTCATGAGTGCTGGAGGTTAGTGCAGTGGTCCAGAGTGGCTGTCTTTGTTCCAAAAGAAACTTGTCAGAATTTTTTTTTTCTTTCGGATACAGGGCTCAAACTCTGGGCCTTGGCACTGTCCTCGAGCTCTACCACTAGAGTGCTAGGGCTCTACCATTTGAGCTACAGCACCACTTCCAGTTTTCTGGTGGTTCATGGGAGATAAGAGTCTTAGGGACTTTCCTGCCAGGGCTGGCTTTTGAACCGCGATCCTCAGAGCTCAGCCTCCTGAGTAGCTAGAATGACAGGTGTGAGCCACCCGCGTCCCGCTTTCTCAGAATATTTTAAAAGAAGAGAACAAGTGTATGCCGGTCTGCTGGCTTATACACAGGTCTAGAAGAGTGTAAGGTGCTGCTGGTGGCAGTGGTTTCTCTCTCAAGCACAGAGCAGTGGCTGCACTGAGGTCTGAGCTGTCCTCTCCACTGGGTCTGTTTTCTGTTACTGTCTTACAAATTGCAGTGGATGGCCTGGCCGGCCCAGGGAATGAATGTCCATGGCCTTCACATTGTCTGCTGGCTGGAAGCGAGTCAGAGGTTCCATTAGCACTTGGGGGTGGGGGTGGAGGAGATATTATACAAGAGTAACTCTGGGACAGGGAGGCCAGTCAGACTTAGGGCTGAAAACTTGTTCTGAAAAGTGTTGGAGTGGCTTTAGAATTGAGTGCTTGGAAACTAAGAAGCCAGTGAGGGATGGGGTGCAGCACCTAGCGGGTTGGTTCTCCGGTTTGTCCTAGAGGGTCCACCTGGTCAGGGGCAGGCAGTGCCTGTGGAGATGTGGATTGATGGGAAGGGCAAACAAAGGGCCTGATCCTGCCTCAGTGGGAGATGTCAGTCTCCTGCAGCCGTGTCTCCTTGGCCCCATGTCCAGCCTGTTCAAGGAGACTGTGTCTGGGCTCCACCACACCTAGCGATGGGAGATGATGATGAGACTGACTGCTCCCTGTCTGGTGACCTCAGCCCTAGGGAACACCAGAAACTCGCTTGGTGACTGGCATGTCTTATCTTAGGTAGCTTAGTAGTGCATAGTTTGGGA